GGCCATCTTTATGAAAAGAAACCGTCCATCATTAAACAGGGGTGGAGGCCTACGTGTTCAACTGTCCCCCTCTTTCAATGCTGTGATTGCTAGTATCACTCAGCCCATGTGAACAGTAAACAGCCATCAGTGTGCCCATGATCCATTGTTAGGCTGATGGTCCTTCTTGAGCATGTGATCAGCTGGTTTTGGTTGTCAGCAGCAAACTGGTTGATCCACTCTGAGAAGGTGCTATTTAAGAGACTGAGCTGAATACAGCACCTCAGACTGAGGAAGTCTCTCGGATGAGAGACGAAACGTTTCTATATTTTTTTGCTTTGTTTTGTTTTTTGTTTTTTTGAATGTCCAGAGGACCAGATTGAACTTTTTTGGATTTTTCTACCTGGATTATTGAGCATGCATTAGGATACACCGAAGAAGAAGTTCTACTTCCGGGGTGAACGTAAACAAACCTGAGCACCCAAAATGGACCCGCGACAGGTTTTAATGATGGTGGAGACGTTACTGCACTCCCTGACTGAGCTACAGGTAATACAGATCATTTTGAGCTCTTTCAAAGTTCATAGTAGGAATGTTGTGTCGCTCACCGACCAGTTTTGCTCCCCTGACATGCTAATATTATTAGCGTGGGCCAGGCGGAAATGGCAAAGTCGCACATGCGCAGTCAGGTCAGTTTTTCACGATCAGATAAAAACGAACAGATCAAGCGTTTACATGCGCACCGATCGGGTTACGGATCGGCGTAAACCACCCGTTTCGTTCTGATCACAAATTATATTGGATTGCGCCGAATACACAAACAATAACCCGAACGGAGTGTTTACATGACACACTTTTATTCCGACCGGCCATTTGATCCGGTTACTTATGTCCATGTAAACATACCAATAGACGTGTTGGTCGAACCTGGGTCAATGATCTCGTGAAATGCGTTGGCACTCAAAGCATAAAATGGAGACAACGATCAGTCACTACAACACAAAACAACTCAATATCTGTAAAAATAAGTTTGGTACTTTTGTTGGCTAATGAAGATCAGCTGTGTTGGCCATTTTTATGTGAGGTGAAGTAAAGTTAATCAGTTGTAGATGAGCTTAGACCTTTATGGTCATTCTGCTTCTAAATACCTGCACTTGTTTCTTGAATTATTTGAACAAAGACTTTTCCTGTGGAGTAATAAAACCATAAAACACAAACCTGTCTCCTTGTTCATCAGTTCGTTGTAGTATGTGAAGAAGGATCTGAACTCTGCTGGTCTGTGTGAGAGGACTTTGAAGATATTGGGCAAGAATCCCCCCTGTAGAGCAAACATTTAGCAGATTATTAGAAAACTATGCAAAGTTCAGGTAAAAGCTCATTATATTTTGTGTATTTATTGTGTGAATGTTGATCCAGCGTTCATACTATTTGCCGGTTATTTTAATTTTTCCCAAATATCTTTTTAATCTGCATATCTTTTTTGGGGACCAGAAAGTCACGGTTTCGACTCCCAGCCATTCCCACTTGTCGTGGTGTCTCTGAGCAAGACACCTAATCAGTGTTACCAAGTCTGCTTATTTTAAGCAACTTATAAGCATTATATTAAGCATATAACTTATAAGCAACAGGCATATTATGCCTATGATGTTAACCGGTTCGACATTAGCAGCGTCTCCATAACTTTTCTTTCCGCCTCTCTTAACACAGAACTTCCTATTACATTTCAAAATAAGAGCAACATAACTGGGTAGTGGGGAGGGCTTTTTTTTTTTTTTTTTAAACATATCCATAACATTGAAAAGCAAAATCCATTTTGGTTGTTGAAATATGTGAAAATAGTTAGAATCGATTCATAAAGAAAGAAAAATAAAGTTACCAAAATATTAATGATACTTAAACTGGCCTTGGGACAAAGGATGTTGCCTTTTTTTCATTCAACCTTTATTTAGACAGGTAAATGCCATTGAGCCTCGAGGACTCATTTACAAGAGAGACCCGATTTCAACAAACAACGATGACAACAATGGACAGTTATAAAAAGGCATACAGATTTTTTTTTCTTCTTTAACTTCACATTTTTTACTTTTTTTTCTCTCACAAATTTACTTCCTCCTAAGGCACAACGGTACATGCTCTATTCAACCTCTGCTCAACTGCCTGGCTGACATCAGGGACTGGATGGCTTTAAACTTCTTAAGTTTCAATGAAAAGAAGTCTGAAGTCATGTTGTTCCCTCCCAACGACACGATCACAAACCACTGCATCGACCTCTCCGCTCTAACCCTGTCAGAAAAACAAAGAGTCACTAATCTGGGAGTGATAATGGACCCTTCCCTGAAACTTAACAATCATATAAACATGATTGTTAAATCATGTTTCTTCCAACTGAGGTGGCTGTCTAAACTGAAGCCCATATTGTCCAAAAATAACCTGGAGACAGTAATACATGCATTCATTACATCTAGGCTTGATTACTGCAATTCACTCCTGTTTGGTATCAGTCAGACCTCCATTGCACGACTACAACTGGTCCAGAATGCAGCAGCCCGATTTTTAACCAGTACAGGCAAAAGAGAGCACATTACACCAGTTTTGGCCTCACTGCACTGGTTACCGGTTCACCTTCGAATCCAGTTCAAAATACTCCTGTATTTCTACAAATCGCTGAACTCGTCTTAAACGCAGAGGTGACAGGGCCTTCTCTGTAGCAGGACCAAGACTCTGGAATGAGTTACCTCTGCTTGTCAGACAGGCCCCCTCCCTCTCGGTTTTCAAGTCCCGTTTAAAAACTCACTACTATTCAGTAGCTTTCAACACAAGATGATCTGTGTTTTGATCCTGTATGCTCTACACTGGTTTGTCATCATTATCTGCATCGTTTTTTGTCTATATTCTGATTTACCTCATTTTGTATTTTGCTTTGTGTGTTACCTGTTGTTTTGTCTGTACAGCACTTTGGTTGGCCTTGTTGCTGTTTTAAGTGCTTTATAAATAAAGTGGTATGGTATGGTATTTTCTTGCTCAACCTGCAGTCACTACAGATGAGTGATTGTCAGTTTCTGAAAGATTTCTGCAACTGGAGCAGGTATTTCTGTTTACTGGTTAACTTCCTCAGCTGTCTCACATTTTAAGGGTCAATCGATCCTACTCCATGTTTCAGCTCCTTTCATAGATCAGATCTAATAGAAGAACTTCTAAAGAGCTTTTTTTTTTTTTTAGCGTAGATAATCTTCTTGTGTTTGACAGTAGATTTAACGCTGGTTCTTAGAAACATTCAGTTTTAATAAAAAAAAGAGTTGACGTAAACTTACCTAAAGAGCAGTAAATACAGCTAGCCAATCAGTGTTTGCCCCCCACAAACGCCTAGTCGCCAGAAACGCCCACTTTTGGCCTGCAGAGAACCCCTTCTCGCTTGTTTTGGGCTTGTTTTCATAGAGCTGGTTGCTTGTTTCTATCGCGAGACCTGGCAACACTGCAACTAATCCCTAATTGCTCCTTAGCTGCCCACTGCTCCACCTGGATGTACCTCAGGTGTGATGGGTTAAATGCAGAGAACTAATTTCACCATTGTAAGGGAACATACAATGAAGACAATCTCAGACTTCCCTCCCTTAACTTTTAGCACTTATTTTAACAATTTAACCATGTCATCAGCAACAGCTAATTTTGCCACTTACCTGTTGGCTGCCCATTTTGCAGCTTTAAAGTTTAAGCTAGCCTGTTGCTATGTTTAGTTAGCTCTTATAATTTCTACCCATAGTTTTTAGCTAGCCATTTGCTATTTTATTTATATATTTTTCTGCTATTTTTAGTTTTTGGCTAGCCTTGTGCTACTTTTAGCTAATGTTTTCCTACAGTTTAGTCATTTTGCAACTTTCAGCTTTTGCTACTTTTAGCTGTTCCGCCCCTTTCTACCTTTTGGCAACAGTTTTACTTCTTAACTTCAGCTTTGCCCTGTTTAGCTTCTGTTATTCAGCTTTAACCTGAGTTCGAGCTTCTTAATCAGATGCCAGCAAACTGCAAAGTCATTCTGCCTCAGCATTTTCGCAGAAAATGTCATTGCTCTGGTTTACCTTTGACTCCACTTCCTCCATGATCTCCACTATGTCATATGGTAAATCTTTCTTGTTCGGAATGGGATAGCGGCTGACTTTCTCCGTAGGATGTTGGTCGCTGGAGGACAGTCTGTTCCCTGCTGACACCGAACCTGCAGCCACATTTCCCCGCAACAACAGGCGGCCCGACCGGAGAGACGCCTGCACACAAACAAACAGATAAATAAACTCCCGCAGACACTAAACTCTAGAGCCACAAACACCACAACGTCAAAAACACACTCGACTACTTACAAGTTGTGCAGACACAGGAAGACGGAGCAACTTGGAAACGAGATTAATCGACGCCATGTCGTCAGCAAGCGGAAGAGTGGACAAGTTTAGCCTCTGTAAATTAAGCTAGTCTCAATGTTTTCGTGATAAAAATGGTAAAAGTAAGAATTTCTAAATGTAGCTGTATTCGAATTGTTATGGCATGCCAGCCTGCGATAGGTTGCTCTAATTACCTGTACTTTTTTTTAAAGAGAATGGCAGTAAAATTGCTATAGTCCTTCCAATCTTGAGGGAAAGTGCGTTATTTTTCCTCGTTGATGTTTGCTTCGTTCCTCTTAGACTTTAGTCCACCAGAAGAAACAGCCAATCAGAGCGAAGCTTCGTTTCGTGCCTGAAAGTTAGACACGCCTACCTGCAATAACACCTCCTCACCCTTAAGTGGCAGTGTATTCTTGCACTGACAGCTGTTTTGCGGTTGTCAAAGGGCATTTATGATTTAATTAAACTGTTAGGATGCTTAATACTAATTAAAATAATTCAAAATAACAAAACAAAACTATTACTATGCAAGTCTTCTTTGCTTTTAAAGAGGACAAAGAAACTGCAAAAATGTTCATAAAGTTCACCCTTTGACCCGGAACAGGAACTGTTACTTACAAAAAAAAAATCGTCAAACTAATGGTTCTTGTTAAGTATCGTATTTAAGAAGCAACTAGGACATCTATTCAAAGGTATACCGTTCACAGAGGAGTTAAAGTATCGCTGAAATGTTTTATCACGTAAGTATGCACTTTATTTTCCTAATATATGTCGTCTGATAGTGATTTATGAATGTCTTGTAGAGCTTTTGTGTAGGTGATATTGACAGCCTTCACTTGTTTTACACTTTTTATATAAAATGCAACTGTTTGTTATTGATATATTTTTACAGTAATACTAGTTATACAACCCAATTTTATACAAAAATATTAAACAAATGTTGTCTTTTAATATATATATATATTTTTTTTTTACAGATTTCTTTAGAGCATGAAATCTTGCTACATCCCAGGTACTTTGGGCCCAATCTACTCAACACAGTGAAGCAGAAGTTGTTCACCGAAGTAGAGGGTACTTGTACTGGCAAGTGAGTAATATTACTCCACTATTTAAGGAGAGTTCTGTTTTATCTCATTGGGTTATAAATCCAATCCATTCATAATCTGCTTGTTCATAAGTTGGGTCGCGGGGGCAGCAGGTTGAGCAGGGAGGCCCAGACATCTCTTTCCATAGCCACCTCTTCCAGTTCTTCTGGGAGGATTCCAAGACATTCCCAGGCCAACCGAGAGACATACTGATAGTCTCTCCAGTATGTCCTGGGTCTTCCCCAGGGTCTCCTCCCAGTTGGACATTCCTGAAGCACCTCCCTAGGGAGGTGCCCAGGAAGCATCCTTACCAGATGCCCGAACCACTTCAACTGGCTCCTCTCGATGTGGAGGAGCAGCGGTTCTACTCTGAGTCTCCTGGATAACTGAACTTCTCACCCAATCTCTAAGGGAGAGTCCAGCTATCCTGCACAGGAAACTCATTTCAACCGCATGTATCCGCAATCTCATTTTTTCAGTCACTCCCTAAAGTTTGTGGCCATAGGTGAGAGTAAGAACGTACACCGACCAGTAAACGGAGAGCTTTTCCTTACAGATCAGCTCCCTCTTCACCACAACAGACTGCTACAGAGTCCACAATACTGCAGACACTGCACCAATTCATCTGTTAATCTCATCCTCCATTCTTCCCTCACTCGTGAACAAAACCCAGAGATACTTGAACTCCTCCACTTGAGGCAGAACCTCACTCTCGACCCAAAGATTACCAAAGCTGGCTCATGGGCTATAAATTTATGTATATGTGTGTGTGTGTGATGACTGTATGAATATACTTCAAAAATGTAATTTATTACTTATATTTTGTCTGTATTTAAAATTGTACACAATACTTTTATTCAGGTTTTTTTTTTTTTTCTTCCTTTGTTCCAGATATGGCTTTGTCATTGCAGTAACCACTATCGACAACATTGGGGCAGGAGTAATTCAGCCAGGCAGAGGTTTCGTCCTCTATCCAGTTAAATACAAGGCCATTGTTTTCCGCCCGTTCAAAGGAGAAGTAGTGGATGCTGTTGTCACTCAGGTTAACAAGGTGAGATTATTTTGTAGAGACCTTTCCGCACTGTTGTTTATATGGTTTTGACACAGACTTTCCCTTTTTATTAATGGATGTTTCACTATTTGAACACAAGTTAAAAAGTTCAGATGGCCTTTCTATGTACAGCACTTAAATTCTTCATTAGGATAGTTAAAATTCAAGTTTATCAAATTGGACTTTAGAATGCATAGGCCTGTTAAAATTATTACATGATCTCCTGACCATTTTTAGCAGAGCATTATCATTTTGCATAACTGTTCTAAGTTTTACAAAATTGCAGAAACTCTTGTTTATGCCAGTATTTTTGTTGCTTTGAAAAGGCTTAATGTAGGTTATTTTTGTATCTCTTGCAGGTTGGATTGTTCACAGAAATCGGTCCTATGTCTTGCTTCATCTCCCGCCATGTGAGCCAGTTTAACATCTGTCACTGTTTTCATTTGCCTAAGATTCACAGTTCTATATTTTTGTAATGTGTGATGTTTGGTTTCTTTTTATTTTACAGTCCATTCCTTCTGAAATGGAGTTTGACCCTAATTCTAATCCACCTTGCTACAAGACAGTTGATGAGGTTGGCATTTTTTGTAAATTAATTTTCTGATTCTCTGCCCCAAAATAAAATAGTTGTACTGAATTGAAGTGCTTATTTCACCTCAACATCTGGATAGTGAATAAAACAGGAGTGTGAGCTTAAATGCACATCATAATTTTTGCATGCAAAGGGCTTGATCTTTTTGTTTTGCTCAGGTAGTTTTAACATTAAGTCTAATATTCAAGTATACTATGATCTCTCTCTTTTTATTTAAGGACATTGTAATCCAGCAAGATGATGAGATCCGGCTGAAGATTGTGGGAACAAGAGTTGACAAAAATGATATTGTAAGTATTTCAAGTAAAACTGCGTCTTTTTTTCAGATAAGCTAGCAAGACACTGGGAAATGCTTCCAGTCAATAGAGCATTTTTATAAAAACATTTTAAACATTAACTTGTTTGTTTTAATTACCTGTAAAATTTCCAACCCTCTACACATAGCATAGGAACATTTAAAATGAAAGGCCTAGCATTACTAGAGGGAAGGAATGTTGGGCCTTTTCACACCAGAGATTTAAACTGAGATCATTTTTTGATGAAAAGGGACAGAATGATCAGAATCAGCTTCATTGTCGTTGCACAGAGCACAACGAAATTACATTTCAGTACAGCCCATCTGAAGAACCACAAACAGACACAGACTTGGGTAGACGGGGTGACTGAGGCGGCAGCCTCTGAGAGGCACTCCTTTTTCGTTAGATTAGAAAAAGGGGAACACGAGGGGGCAAAAAAATACAATCTTGCACGGTGTCTCTGCAGGATACAGCGTGAAGCTGCAAAACAACCAGCACATAAAAAAAGCAACATACAGACATGAGACGCATGCGTGTGGAGTGGCGGTGGGGGTCCCAGCACAGGCCGCCAAGTGAGCGACGCAGCCAGCTTTGTGGCGCTTTCGCGTCTCCTAGGTTGCTGCACCGGGAGGGGGGGGGGCCAATAAGGGGCCCCGCCAACGTGTTAGTTTAAGGCGAAGTAGTCTGTGCCCCCAGTCCAGGGCCCCCCCCCCCCCCCCCAGCCATAGTCCTGATAAGAGGTGGTGTTTATCAGCCAGCTGATTGATCTCTTACACAGGTCTATGTCTCTATGTCCTTGGGAACGGGGAGGGGAGGAGGGGCAGATCACCTTGTTTCCTTAACATCCAGGAAAAATTGAGGTAGTCTTCCAAGGCCAGCACAGGGGAAGCCAGATTCAGATATCAGCATTTGTTTTGGGTCAGGCTGAGCTCCCACTTCCTCAGGAATCCATTGTGCATCCAGCTGCTAGTGTTCGGTCGAGGCAAGAGAGCTCTCCTTCGCCCTGGCTTCTTGCTGAGACAATTTGATCAATTGCATTGAGAGACCAGCTGACCAGATCCATAGTTTACAATTTGGAAGCTATGCAGAAAGAGGCTCTGACAAAGGTTCACAGGACGAAGTGCAAAGCAGGGACGGAGCAAAAGGGAGAAGTGTCTGCCTTCGCCGAGGGCAAGCAAGAAAAAAAAAAAACATTTTGCCAACCATAGCCATTTTGGTGAAACTTTGTAAATATGGACAGTCTCGTGCATGATCTCATGAGATGTGTTAGCTTTAAAATATGTATCGAAGATGACTCTCAGCCACTACCACACCAAATTTTAGCTCAATATGAGCTAGCTGACTAAGTTAAAGGCATTGCTGTGGTTTTTAAGGTTGACTGGGTGGGCTGGCCATCTTCAATCGGGATGACTCCAAAAGTTTATCAGTTAATGTGTAGTGTTGATTTTAAGTTATTGCAAATATATCTGTTAAATTCTGAATAATGCTTAGAGTCTGTGTTGTGAACGACTCTGCTTTTACCATGCCAATGTGGTGGATTTTCTGAAATAATGATTGACTCAAGATTTAAACTAGATTATTTTAATTTTATTTTTTTTTTTTAGATTATTTGATGCAGTTACATGTGCAGAGTGTCTGCACAAGTTGGGTTCATAGTCAAACAAAACTTGGGAGCTCATGGTTCATGCAGATTTGGACCCATGAGGAAATGCTTGTTATCAAAGTGTGCACAAACCAATCACTGACAAGAAGCTTCACAATTCATGACTGCGCCATTCCCCAGCTCAGAGGTGACAACATGAAGAACTCACGATTCACCAAAATGAACTGTTCTTTGCTACTAGCCCTACTCATGTAATTTTTCACCAATACCAGCAGAGAATTCTGTTTAAAAAAAAAAAACTAACAAAGACACTATTTAGAAGTGACGGTTTTGAGAGCCGTTCTTAAGCTTTTCATTTTGAAAATGTCTAAAATAAGATGCTGCAAATCAGGCAAAAAAATTGCACACAATGCCTCAGGTGTTTTATTGTCTATTTAAGATATATATTACTTTGTCTTGTGCAAAACAAAAAGGTTCGCCACTGTTCATTATGTAAAAGTAAACCCAAAATAACAAACCATATATCCATTTGAAAACAATGCCCTTTATCTTTTTCCCAGTTTGCCATTGGATCTCTGATGGACGACTATCTGGGTGAGTGTTTTATCACTGGTTTACTCCATCCATTGTCTTTTACCCGCTTCTTCCATTTTGGGTGGTTGGTCTACTCATTAGACATATTTATGGTGTGCATAATACACAATTATTCACAGTAAAAAATGTATAGTTTATGCCAGTGGTATTTTTTTGTCCAGAAGTTTGTTATAGTGGTTTATTTAAAAATATAACCATCATACAATGTACACTTGTATACAATTTTTTAAATGTTTCAGTGTAATCTGTTGGTAAACATGTCTTTGTTATTTTAATTTCAGGTCTTGTGAGCTGAGTCGTCTCTATGGAGAACATCTGGCGGGACATTTTTGTGTAGTAAACTAGATGATGTGTTTATTAAAATATTTTTCTACACTTCTACCTGTGATAGCAGCAGCTAGCCACTTGCATGCTACATTTGCTGATTTTTATTTGAACTGGTGTAAAAGTTTAAACAAATGCTGTGGATCAGTACATTTGTCTGTAACATGATGGTTTACAGTACAAGCCAATCCACAGAAATGGTTTTAGTTCTTGTTTATGTAAACCACATCATTTCAGTTTTGTTTACTTGTTTCTTATTTTTTATTTCTGGACTGTAATAAAGTTTGAGCATCGTTGTAACTTTATCTCCTTCCACATTTAAAATTCACTGGTTGCATGGAGTTTTTGTGAAACGTGGCAAAGTCAGTAGAATTATAGGATACACAGCGGGAACGCGGACACCTCGAGGACGCGCACGTCTTGTGTGCGTAAATACGTCAGGGGCGCGCCCCCTCGCTCTTTCTTTCTCTCGTCCTGAAGATGGCGGCAGGGGTGAGTAAGATGGAGAAACAGCTAGCCGCAGAGCTTTTTTTAATATTCACTGCCACAATCCAGTTAAAATCAGAGCCATCTGCACTTGTACACATTTACATTCGTAATATATATCGATATTAAGCTGTTAAGGAGCTGTTTTATGGTTTATTTACAACGTAAATCTTGGGTAGCTTTGGGTATGAGTTAGCTTGCTATCACCGATTCATTGAACTGCTAACTCCGGGTTGTGCCACGTTACCTTAACTGAAACAGGTTCCTAGGTTGTGTTTTTACGTTTTAATGGTTTTTGCATGATTTGGGACTAAAGCTTTAAGTTCTGAGCTAGGTCTGTTGGAGTTTAGTTATCTTAGTATTTTTCTTAAAATGAAAGCTAGTTCAGCGTTTAAGCCAACTGAGCCACATGAACTTTCTTTTATTGATATCTATTAACAAATAAAAGTTCAGATTAGTCCTTTTTCCTCATGTTTTACAGAGACTGTTTCTTAGTTGTGTTTAAATAGCCCATCATATCTAGTGGATCTTTAATGGCTTTGTTAAAGCACAGCTGTTTGTCAGGGTTCTCTTGTTTGAGACGTGTCACAGTACAACTGTTTTGTCCTCTAGCTAATTAATTTCCTGTCTTGGGCATATTTAATTTAATTGATCATAATAAAACTATAAGTTTAGTTTTTATTGCGTTTAAAGCTGTTCTTTTCTTTCCTTTTAGACTCTGTACACATACCCAGAGAACTGGCGGGCCTTCAAGGCCCAAATTGCGGCCCAGTATAGTGGTGCTCGCCTCAAAGTTGCCAGCAGCTCTCCTGCCTTCAACTTCGGGCAGACAAACCGCACCCCTGCCTTCCTCAACAACTTTCCTCTAGGCAAGGTGAGTGAAAACTGGTTGAAGTAGTTCCAGATTATATGAAAGAAGCCAAGCAGCTCACTGTTTTGTACCTTTTTATGTAGTCCGTCATTGAATAAACTTGACTGTTGTTGTATAGCTGTGGTTTTTGTCACATGCTTCTCTGAATTTCAAAGCTTTTTAAATTAACTTAAATGTTATTGTGTGCAGGTGCCTGCCTACCAGGGAGATGATGGTTTCTGTCTGTTTGAGAGTAATGCCATTGCTCACTACCGTAAGTCTATTTAAGAAAAAAAAAAAAGCTGGTTCTGTTATCAGTTTCAGCTAATAACATCTGACCTTGCAATTTCAGTGAGCAATGATGCCCTACGTGGTGCCACTCCTCAGGCTTCTGCTCAGGTTCTGCAGTGGGTCAGCTTTGCTGACTCGGAGATCATCCCTCCAGCCAGTGCGTGGGTCTTCCCCACTCTGGGAATCATGCAGTTCAACAAGCAGGTGTGCAGCTCTGCATTTCTCTACTCAAAAAAGATCAAAGTGATGATATAACATGCTTGTGCAGTTTTAGGGTTGCCAACATTATTCTTTTTTTTTGTTTGTACAGGCTACAGAGCAGGCCAAGGAGGACATCAAGAAGGTCCTTGGGGTGCTGAACCAACACCTGAACACTCGTACCTTCCTTGTGGGGGAGAGGATCAGCCTGGCTGATATCACTGTAGTCTGCTCCATGCTCTGGCTTTTCAAACAGGTTTGACACTTGCAAAGCAGCCAAGTTGGGCTGCTGTCTACACACAGGACTGTTAATGTTTCTTACAGTATTGACTGCTCTTCATGGTGCTATAGAAACCAGGATGCTTCCACAAGGATCTGACATCCGTTTGTTTTGTAGGTCGTGGAGCCTTCCTTCCGTCAGCCCTATCAAAATGTGACCCGCTGGTTTGTTACATGTGTTAACCAGCCCCAGTTCAAGGCTGTTCTTGGAGAAGTCAAACTCTGTGAAAAGATGGCTCAGTTTGATGGTGAGTCACCAGCGATGAAATCAGAGGTGGTACATACCTAAAGGATGGTTGAAAGGTCACAGACCAAAAGGCAAACAATTTTATAAATCAGTAAAACACAATTTGTTTTTGTAGAAGAGACAAAGAGACTAGTTTCAAATGATTGCAACATTTTTTTTTTGAGTAAGAAGTAATATATTGTTCTGTTCCTCTAGCCAAGAAGTTTGCTGAGATGCAGCCCAAAAAAGAGGCCCCTGCCAAGAAGGAGAAGAGTGGAAAAGAGGCAGCCAAGCCCCAGGAGAAGAAGGAAAAGAAAAAGGAAGAGAAGAAGCCTGCTCCAGAGGAAGAAGAAATGGATGACTGTGATGCTGTTTTGGCTGCAGAACCCAAAGCCAAGGACCCCTTTGCACATCTGCCAAAGAGGTAATTATATTGTTTTGTTTTTTTTTCCGAGAAGATTAATCTCATTTAATTCATTCTATCCATTTATTCTAAAGAGTTGTTATAGTGCAGATGTCAAGATTTTTCCTCATTGATAATTGAAAGTCCCCTGTCTTTGGGCAAGGCAGTGCCCATTCATGGCACCAAGGCTTAATATGACAGGGGTATAAAAAAATAAGGACTTTGTTCATCCCAGTCAACTCTGATTTAGTGAGAACAAAAGGCTGTTTCATACTGAGTCCACAAATAATCCATGATCTCTAAAGAAACTAAGCGCTTCAAGGTGCTCTAATATCAAAGATTAGAGATCTGTTGAGATATTTTAAAGTTTGTAACAGCAGTAACGGGTCGTTACCTTTGTCTTTAGGATCTTGCTTCATTTTCTGAACCATTCTGTTGTCTGTCTTATCTCCACTGTGTGTACTGAAAATCATATTTATGACTGGATCTGTCTTTTTCTGAAGCTCGTTTGTCATGGATGAGTTCAAGAGGAAGTATTCCAACGAGGACACCTTGACAGTAGCTCTCCCCCACTTCTGGGAGCACTTTGACCGCGAGGGGTACTCCATCTGGTATGGCCATTATAAGTACCCAGAGGAGCTCACTCTTACCTTCAAGAGCTGCAACCTTATTACAGGTGAGACTCAACATGCATACCTGAGGACACACTGTTTCAGCTTTATGTGCTGTGAAATTCAACATTTTACTCATGTGGAGGACATTTTCTGATTCCTTTTCACAATGGCCCTGGATGCATTCTTTAATTGTTTGGAGTTTAAATGTTGGCTCATGTGACTATTTCTATTTAAAGTTTTTGTTTTTAAGAATGCATAATGATGCTTAAACTTGTAGAATTATTTCTAAGGTTGTAGGAGCCTAAACTATATTTTATTTGTAGTCCTGTTTTACTTCAAACTAAACCATGAATGCAAATTGTCCCCTGTCTCTGGGCAAGGCGATGCCCTGTGATGGCATTATGTCTTAATCTGACGGGGGCAGAAAAAACTCAAGACCCAAATTCATCCCAGTCGTCTCTGATTCACATAGGAAAGACTGGTTCATGCTGAGGTCACAATAAGCCAGAGTGCCCAAAATGTCCTGTTAAATAATCAAAAATACTTCACAGGTGCAGGTCTTAAGACTAATCTAAATTTAGTTAAGATTGTCACAATAAAAAAAATTCCCTTAGTCTTTCATTACGTGTTGCAGCATGAATTACAGATTGGCCTTTTTTGGTAACTGCAGATGTTTGTTAATCGTTTTAGAAAACCACCAAAGTTTTGATGATTTCTCAAACACCTCTTGGTCTTCGTAGGCATGTTCCAGCGCCTGGACAAACTGAGAAAGAATGCTTTTGCCAGCGTCATCTTGTTTGGCACCAACAATGACAGCAGCATCTCTGGTCTCTGGGTCTTCAGGGGGCAAGAACTGGCCTTCACCGTAAGTATATGAAAGGGTCAACTCTTTCCACCATTTTTTTTGTTTGTTTTTAACATTTTCAGTTTCAAACAATTATTGGTTTATTTTGCATCCTGATGCAAAGTCTTTTGTGCATTCAGTATCAAATCCTTAAAATCTTAACTCGGCATAAAAAAACTTCCATAAACTCAAGTACTATTGGCACCGACACCTTTCAACCGACATAAGAGAATACAGTAGAAGAACAAAGGAAATGAGCTGCTTGAGTAATGAAAATGACTAATGCAATTCAAAATTAAACAACCGCACAATCTTAAGCATTTTAATGTTAATGAAAGATGCAGAAAATAAGTCCTATTGAGATTTCCTGGAAAGTTGGAACGAGAATTGAAAGGCTCCAAAAACTAATTTTAAAATATATTCTGGGTGTAGTGGAACGGACTGAAAAATGTTGGATTGTATACCTGGATTATTGAGCATGAACTTTGTAGTTTGATCTATTGAGTTTTCTTGCCTGTATAATTTTCAACATTAGCAAATCTATATGAATTATTTGTTTGTATAATGTGTAATAATAAAGGTGTGGATGTGTACTATTCAAATTAAAAATGCATTCCCCCCCGTCAATGGGCAAGGCGGTGTCCTCTCGTGGCACAAAGTCTTAATCTGACGGGGGAAGAGAAAGTAAAGGGCATATTCATCCCAGTCAACTCTGTTAAAGTGAGTAAAAGGCTGGTTCATGCTGTGGCCACAAACTGGATTCTAACATTTAGTTTTATTATTAATTTAGGAGGTATTGACGGGTTTCTTGATTACTAAACACCAGGTGTGTGTGTGTGCATAATTTTGTATGCTGCCAGAGGAGATGACTATTGATAACACAATTTTGTTTTGTTGAGCCCCTACATCTAATTATTAAGACCCATTAGATTTTATGTTCTGACACTTATTGCTGTGGGCAGATTTAACACTTGAAGTTTTATAATCTTATTGTCTTGACTGTGAATAAGGGTAGTTGTTCACATTATTGAGTTTTAACCACTGACTGAATAGGATTGCGGTGGATTATACTGCTCTTTGCATCAACTTTTGTACT